CATTGTTACTCATAGTAAGGCACTTGTTCCTAGTAGCGATGCACTTGTTACTAGTAGCATATATGTTTGGCATATTCTTTTTTCTCGCCTCCAAGACGTGAATGCTGCCGCTCTTGGTGCCTTAGTGCCGACGGTGTCGCCGACGGTGTCGCTCCGACATCTGCACTCGGGCACCGGACCGGCCAACAGGAAGAGCCCGGTGTCATCGAACTTCAAAGCCCTCACTTCGGTTTCGACCTCGGTTTCGACTCGAAGAGAAGAAAAACATGAACAAGAGAACACTTGTCCATTGTGATATCTTGTGATTTTTGATCGCCTTGAGCTTTTGCAAGACCATGCCATTGCCAACCTCGACAATGGTTCAACAGGTTTGACCAGGGCTGAGTTTTCTTGCACGTCTTGCGAGTCTCACGTTTGCGGCTCACATGTACGAGTCTCAAAACAGCGTTGGAGTTGGCCGCCACGAAGACCTGCGCGAAGTGAACTCGTAAAACTGTGTGCCAAACTAGGTCAGTCCATTGACTTGTTTCGATTTGTTTGGGACTTTCGATTATTTTCGGGTGGGCACTCCTGACATTCACTCAGCCATTCCAAATCTTTGGCAGTGGAATTTTCTTGGTCGGCTTGTCGAAAACTGGTCACTTGTTGTTCTTCTTGTTCAACTCTTGTTCCTTTTATTCAGTCTGACTGAGACTCTTTGTTTCCTTGCGTCGATGAAGAATCAAAGATATTGGGTCAGGGGCAAACTAAGAGGTTTGCCCCTGCCCTTACCTAGGAACTCATCGACTGCACACTCTGCGAAACCGTGATTCGCATAAGGGCGGCGGTATGTTAGGCTAACAGAATGCATGTACACAATGCTGGGGCCAAGTAGACCTTCACACGGGCACGGAGGTTGCAGCTCTGAAAAAGACTTGAGGTGATAAAACGCTCTGCTTCTGTTGCCAGTTGCCAAGCTAGGACTGCGCAAGATGTGGCACCAAAGAACAGGGCATCAACACAAGACAGAGCTTGCTGCCAGATGGCTCCCCAGATGCCCCACGGGCGCGAACAAGCGGCAGGCCTTCCGCAACACTTTGAGCCCTCCTGTGCGCAGCAGCACACCGGGTGTCAAGCACTTGTCATCACAAAGGCGTGCAATTGAGTTGGCGCACCAGTCAACACATTTCCATCCAGCCAGTCTCGAAGAGTTCAACGCCTTTTCTTCTTTCCAGATTCGTGCCTTGATCCGTGGCGGTCACGTGACATTTCGCGATAGTCACCTCGACCTCTTCCGTGCAAGGCTGGTATAATAGTAGTGGATCAGCTTGTATTGGGCGCGGCTGCAATGCTCAGCTTTTGCATCCACGAGGAACACTGCGCAGGTCCCACCCAGCAACTTGAACAAGTGACTTGGCCAACGCCCTGGCCTTAGCTGTCAGGGAACTGTGACTGAACTGTAACCCTTTGCGGCCTGACAATTCCATCCTCACTTCGGCAGCTTTCCATCTCCATTGATCCTCCGGGTACTCGCCTTCGAACTGGACAGCCAACCGCAGTGTGCAAGAGCGTCTGTTCTCCTTCGGCGACTTGCCCTTGCCTTTGACATCGTCATTGGAACCGCCGTCCTTTCCTGTTTTGCTTCCCCCTTTTTTCATCCATCTTGGTCCTTTCCTTGGACCCTATATGGGCACCGCCGGTTGCGGTTTGATTCCGAAACCAAAACGATGATTCGGAAACCAAGCGCAACGACGAATCCAAGCTGTGATTCAGAACCCAACTGCCCTTGTTTTGCACGGTCACTACATCTCCCAAGAACGTGATTAGCCCAGCTCCATCCCCACACCCCACCCAACCTATTGTGATTCAGTACCCAGGTACCCTCTCCCAGGAACGTTATTGCCCCAGCCCCATGCCCCACCCCACCCAACCTTTGTTAGCCCAACCCCATCTCCCCACCCACCCAACGTATTGCGATTCAGTACCCAGGTGCCCTCTCCCACTCCCAGGAACGTTATTGCCCCAGCCCCACCCCCCACCCCACCCAACCTATTGCGATTCAGGACCCAGGTGCACTCTCCCAGGAACGTTGTTGCACCAGCCCCATCCCCCACCCCACCCAACCTATTGCGATTCAGTATCCAGGCGCCCTCTCCCAGGAACGTTATTAGCACAGCCCCCACATCCCCCCACCCCACCCAACCATGATTCAGTATGCAGGTGCCCTCTCCCAGGAACGTTATTGCCCCAGCCCCATCCCCCCACCCCGCCCAACCTGTTGTGATTCAGTACCCAAGTGCCCTCTCCCAGGAATATTAGCCCAGCCCCATCTCTTGTAATACCCAGGTGCTCTCTTCCACTATTGCCCAAACCCCATCCCCCCACCCAACCCAACCTATTGTGATTCAGGGCCCAGCCCCATCCCCCCACCCCACCCAACATATTGTGATTCAGTACACAGGTGCCCTCTCCCAGGAACGTTAATAGCCCAGCCCCATCCCCCCACCCCACCCAACCTATTGTTATTCAGTACCCAAGTGCACTCTCCCAGGAACGTGATTAGCCCAGCCCCATCTCCCCACCAACCCAACCTATTGCGATTCAGTATCCAGGTGCCCTCTCCCAGGAACGTTATTAGCACAGCCCCATCCCCCCACCCCACCCAACCTATTGTGATTCAGTACCCAGGTGCCCTCTCCCAGGAACGTTATTAGCGCAGCCCCATCCCCCCACCCCACCCAACCTATTGTGATTCAGTACCCAGGTGCCCTCTCCCAGGAACGTTATTAGCACAGCCCCATCCCCCCACCCCACCCAACCTATTGCGCGGTTCCCGCCACACCGTTCCTCCCTGTACTGCACGCTGCACGCGCGTCCCAGGATGTCGTTGTCTCGGTTGCTAGTATTGTTTCCAATAGCAAACATTGTTACTACTAGTAAGGCACTTCTTACTAGAAGCGATGCACTTGTTACTAATAGCTTCTTGTTAACGTTCTCCCGGAAGGTTTGACTTTTGCTTCAAAGCCTTCGCCGCATTGCGCTCTGTCTCATACTTTAACATCCCGATGGCCTCCACTTCCGGCCGGCCTCTCTATCACCGCTTACGCCGTTGGGTCCGCCTCTTCGCTTCCTTTTCTCTCTTTCTCTCAACATCTCTCAACTCTTCCGATCTTCTACAAGTTTCCTTTACACTTTTGAGCCACAGGTCGTGGTGTATCTCACCTTCACAAAGATAGAGAAGTATCAAACAGAGATGGATAGGTAGATGTATAGCCTTACGGCGAAAGACGCACAGATAGAGACACTGAAGCAACAAGAAACAATTATAGCGAAACATAATAGAAAAGTGGATAGAAACAGTCGGATAGAGATGGAGAGAGGGAACGGTCGGGTTGGAACTATCTGACCGTCAAGCTGTTCCGTTCGCGAGATCTACGAGTGGCAGGGGAACCCGTTTCGCCGCCTGCGGATTGAACGGTAAAAATGTGGCCACCGGAACCGGCCTTGGGAGCAAACTGAAGCAAAGTGAGAAACATTGAAACAATTGTGCAAATGCAGGTTTTCTTTAAACAGCTGACATCGACTCAGGTTCCAGCGATGAATCCGTAAAGACCTTCAGCATCTCGCCGGAGTCCACACCCCAGAAACGGACCGACCTTGAAACGGGGAAGCAAAACACAAACACAAACACCCGCACCATACCTCCCTCTTTCAAGGCGTGTTTTTCCAAAGAGACGCGCTGACGCCAAAAGCGTGGTCTCTGGCTTGTCAATTGAAGTTGTCACAAGCTGGTCTTCCAGCAAGTTGAAGAAAATCGACGTGATGGCTCCTTAGTTGGTCAAAATCACGGCCAAAAGACCTTAAAAAAACCACAGGCAAACATGATCCTTCAATATCCTTCAATAAGACGAACTCTCTCTTTTCTAGGGCTGATACGAGAGTGTCCCACTAATCTGGAATGGACGGCGATGTTGGAATGATCCTTGGAACGATGTACGCACTGGAAAACCAAAAAAAAGAACAAAAGAAAACACATTGACTAATATAAGCTACTAGGAACAAGTGCATCGCTACTAGTAACAAGTGCCTTACCAGTAGTAACAAGAAGCTACCCCCCCCGCGCGCGCGCGTGCGCGAAACGGTCCTAGTAGATTCCTTTGGTAGTAATTACAAGTAATTCTAATAGCTTTTTTGTTGCTACTAGTAAGGCACTTGTTACTAGATGCAAGCAAAACACAATCTGTTTACACATTCTGTTTTCAACACTTGGCCACGCGCAGCCGGCGGGTCGAAGCCGTCCGACAGCCCAACGTCTGAGAGCATCGCCTCAGACGTCCGCTTTCGGCTTTACATAGAGAACCCGAAAGAAGCAAAAAAACCATCTTAACCCTTCTTTACAGAGTTGGACATTGCCTAAGAAGGAAGGCATTTATGCGCAAACGACTTGGCACATTCGGATGCTTTAATGCCGCTTTGTGGAAGCCATTTCCGGAAAAGGACAAGAACCGAAGGAAGAAATTGACCAAATTGAAAACTCTGAACATGTTCCGGCTGAAAACCAATGTCTCCTTTCACTTTCTTCCCTTTCACTTCATTCCTCCAATTCCTTCCCCTTTTCGCCTACCCATTGGACGAATGTGAGCGCTCACCGCGACCGCGTCTCTGTTCAGTTCGTCACTGTGACAGCAATACTGGTTAAGAAAGGAGGCACCGATGGTTCGTCGGACCAAATCCAGTCAAACGAAATGGTGCTATCCAGTACTAATCTGTATACGGTTGTACTATGTTGTACTATGTTGTACTTACTGTGCATACTGAAAGATCTGAATATGAACACCCTCATGCCCAAGCGACGATTTCCATCTCAGTTCGGTAGCAGCGGTAGATCACGATGGTGCCATCCTAAACATGAAGAACTCAAAAGGGACTTGCGAAGAAGAACGTTGGAAAAGGGTGAAGATGGTGTTAGTTTTGTTTGTTTTGAAACTGAACGCCACGTGGACGCAACACGGTTCCATACTCTGGTGCCACTTTAAAAATGTTTTTTCACTTCATTTGATTCTTTGTGTTTGCTATGTTCTTCTTCTACTTAGTTGCTGTGCTTTCGTGTTTTTTTTTCTCTTCGCTCTTGTCATCTCTGTCTCGCCTTCGAGGCAGTGGCCAAGAGGACGTAGGCCTAAAACGAAAAACAATGCCCTTCTTCACATTCTTCACCTCTTTGCTTTAGGAACAAGAAGCTACTAGGAACAAGTGCATCGCTACTAGTAACAAGTGCCTTACTTTTAGCAACAAAAAGCTATTAGAAACGAGAAGCTAGCCAGTAACAAGTGCATCGCTTCTAGTAACAAGGCACTTAGAAGCTAGTAACAAGAAGCTATTAGAAACAAGAAGCTACTAGTAACAAGTGCATCGCTACTAGTAACAAGTGCCTTACTGTTAGCAACAAAAAGCTATTAGAAACAAGAAGCTAGCCAGTAACAAGTGCATCGCTT